AGAAAAACTAGAACCAAAAAACAGAAAAATGGCAATACCAAAATCCATTCCTATTAATAATTTAAACATAAGTATATTAAACTTAAATATATGATTTTATATATATATATATATATATATATATATATATAATACACCAATAACTTTAAATATAAATAAATTAAACTTCTCAATCCAAAGACAGACTGGCTGAATGGATTAAAAAATAACTATATTCCATATACCAGGAACTTGACTTGAATTTAAGGTTACACATGGACTGAAAGTAAACAGATAAAAAAATATATATATTCCAGGCAAAAAACCAAAAGGCAGCAAGTGATTATAGTTGTTTTAGACAAAACTGTCACAAAATATTTTAGATTTTTTATTACAATAAAAGGATCATTACACCAGGAACATATAACAATTATAAATACAGATGCACCCAACATGAAAACACCTAAATACATAAAGCAAACACTGATCGAACTAGTGAGAAAAATAGACAACAATATGATGACATTAGAAAACTTCAATACCCCACATCCAAAAATGGATAGAACATTTAGCTATAGATCAATAATGAAGAAGAGACTTAAATAAAAACCACAGGCCAAATGGATTAAACAGCATATAGAACATTCTACACAAAAACAGCAGAGTGAACATTTTTCTCAGATCTTTCTCCAAAATAGGTCATATTTTAGATCTTAACAAATTTAGGAAGACTGAAATTGTACCAAGTCTCATTTCTGACCACAGTAGAATGGAACTAGAAATCAATAGCAGAAGGAAAACTGGAAAATTCACAAATATGTGGAAATTAAACAACACACTCTTGAACCACCATTGGCTCCAAGAAGAAATCAAAAAAGAAACTAGAAAATAGCTTTAGACAAAAATAAAAATACAACATACCAAAACTTATAGAAAGCAACACAAGCATTCCTAAGAGGGAAGTTTATACTGATAATTGCCTACATCTTAAAAATCCCAAATACTTCACCTGACTTTGTATCCCACATAATTAGATAAAGAACAATAAACTAAGCCCAAAGTTAGAAAGAGGAGGTAACAAAGATGAAAGTAGAAATAAACAAAATAGAAAAATAGAAAAACAATGGAAAAATAAATAAAACTGAGAGCTGACTTTTTGAAAAGATAAAAAAATTAGCAAACCTATAGCTAGACAAACTCAGGAAAAAGATAAAACTTAAACAAATAAAATCAGAAATAAAGAAGAACTGACACCACAACTGACACCACAGACTTAAGAGGGATCTTAACAGACTACTATAAACAATTTACATCAACAAACTGAATAACTTAGAGGAATGGATAGATTTCTAGAAACTTATTTCCTWCCAAGACTTAATCATGAATTAATAACAAGTCTGAACAACCTGTAACTAGTAGGCAGATTGAGTTAGAAATCAAAAACCTTCCACTAGGTTTGGTGGCACATGCTTATAATCCTAGCTACTTGGGAGGCTGATACAAGAGGATCACAAGTTAAAGATGAGACTGGATAATTTAGTGATAATTTTGTCTCAAAACAAAATTTTTAAAAATGCCTAGGGATGTAACTCAGTGTTAGAAGTGTCTCTGTGTTCAATCCTCGGTACCACAAAAAAAGATAAGGGAAATAAAATATATATATATATATATCCAACAAAGAAAAACCCAGGATCAAATGGCTTCAATGGTGAATTTATTTTTCTTTTTGAGACAAACTGGCTGGCCATTAAACTCCTGGGCTCCTGCCTCAGCCTCCCAAGTGCTAGGGTTTCAGGTGTATATCAATAACCATGCCCAGAAAGTGGACTTTTAAGAACCTGGGTTTTATAAGCAATATTTTTATTTAGTGTTAGGGATTGAACCCAGGATCCTTGTACGAGCTAGACCAATGCTATACCACTGAGCTACATCCCCRGCCCTAATTCTAACAAATATTAAAGAATTAATGGCACTTTTTCACAAGCTCTTCCCCCAAAACTGAAGAAGAAACCCTTTCTAACTCATTCTCTGATGTTGGTATTATCCTGATACTGAAGCCAAAGACACTACAAGAAAAAGAAAATTACATTACAATATCCCTTCTGAACATTCATGCATAAATTCTTAACAAAATTACTAAATGAAAATTAATAGTATACTAAATATATCATACATCATGACCAAGTGGGATGCAAGGATGGTTCAACATGTGAAAATTAAAATTAACATGATACACCATTATCAGAAAAAGGGTGGGGAAAAACAACATACCATCTCAATTGATGCAAAAAAAAAAAATTGACAAACTTCAATGCTTTTCCATGATAAAAAAACTCTCAACAGGGATGGAGATGTATGTTACGTTTATAATAGAACACTTTGCCTAGCATGCTTGAGGCCCTAGATTTGATCCTGTCTCCTTCCAAAAAAAAAATCACGGGCTGGGGATATAGCTCAATTGGTAGAGTACTTGACTTGCATTCACAGGACCAGGGTTTGATCCCCAGCACACACTCAAAAAGTTACTTAGCAAATTAGGAAGAGATTTCAACTACCTCAACATAATAAAAATCATAYATGAAAAATCCACAGTAAACATCATATTCGATGTTGAAGGATTGAAAGGGGTTTTTTTTTTTCCCTAAGATCAGGAATAAGGAAAGGATGCCTACTTTTACCATTTCTATTCAATATAGTACTAAAATTTCTAGCCAAGTAAATGAAATAAAAAGCATCCAAAAAGGAAAGGAAAAAATAAAGTCATACCTGTTTGCAGACAATACCATCTTACAAAGAGACAAATAATAACTATATGATATGGTAGATGCCTTTATTAGTTTGATTTAATGATTCCATAATGTGTATGTGTGTCAAAATATCATATTGTACTCCATAAATACATAAAATTATTATTTTTCAGTTAAAAATTTTGGAGTAGAAATCCTAAAGATTCCATTTAAAAATGGCTAGAACTACATATAAATTCAGTACAGTTTCAGGATTTAAAAAAAATCAACATAAAAAAAGAGTAAAACACATAGAAATAAACTTAGCTAAGGAATAAAAGACTTGTATACTGAAAACTATAAAACATTGATTAAAGAAATTAAATGATAAAAACAAACAGAAAGATATCCCACATTCATGGATTGAAAGAGGTCATATTGTTAAAAATGTCCATTCATCTCAGGGTAATTACAAGTTCAATGCAATYCCTAAAAATACCCCAGTGGCATTTTTTACACAGTTAGAATAACTTCTGAAGTTCATGTGAAACCACAAAAGACCATGAATAGCCAAATAAATCAAGAAAGAAGAACAAATCTAGAGGAATCACACCCTGGCTTCAAAATACATTGCAAAGCTACAATGATCAAATTAGTATGGTGCTGGCATAAAGACATATAAACCAGTGAAATAAAACAGAGTCCCCATAAATTAATCCAACCATACACACTCAACTAATCTTGGTCAAGAGTGCCAAGATTACACAGTGAAGAAGGATAATCTCCTCAACAGATGATTTGGGGAAAACTGAATATCCACATACAAAATAATTAAATTGGGCCCTTATACCATATTCAAAAATCAACTCCAAGTATAATAAAGATTTAAATTCAAGACCTGAGACTGAAACTCTTGGGGGGAAAAAAGGGCAAAGGTAATGTGGGAACTGGGGATTCTACTGTGCCACTGCTTCCTATAAAACACAACATGAATATTGAACCTTGGGATGAAAAGGGATCAGTGGTTGGCTCCACCAACCCCAAATCCAACAGCCTCAGCCATTAATTCAATTGCTAACATTGGTGCAATGCCAGCTGCCTCAGTCACCACAACCACAGCAACAACAAGGACCTCARCCACAGGCCCAGCCACACCAAATGCAGCCCCAGCCACAGAAGCTGCACAGTCTCTGGGAAGCTCCTTGGAACAGGGGAGCAGGCTCCAGCAAGAACAATGGAATGGGCCATGAAAACTTTGGTTTAGGGGTTGTACCTGACAGCGCTTCACCTTCTAGCATAGAAGCACATCCAGTGCTGGAAAAGCTAAAGGTCTTAAACAACTACAATCCCAAAGACTTTGACTGGACTCTGAAGGATGGACATGTGTTTATCATTGAAAGCTACTCTGGGGATGACATACATCATTCCATCAAGTACTCTATCTGGCGTAGTCCTGAGCATAGTAATAAGCATTTAGATGCAGGTCACCATTCCCTGAATGGGAAAGGCCCACTCCATCTATTCTTTAGTGTGAATGGCCAGGGATATTTTTGTGCAGTGGCTGAAATGAAGTCCCTTGTGGACTATAATGCATATGCTAGTGTGTGGTCTCAGAATAAACGGAAGGGCAAATTTGAAGTTAACTGGATCTTTGTCAAAGATGTTCCCGATAATCAATTAAGACCCATTCACTTCAAGAACAATGACAACGAATTAGTAACCAATTCAAGGGACACTTAAGAGGTACCCCTAAGGGTACCCCTAAGCTTAATTGCTACTTTTAAGCATACCCGCTCAATCTTTGATGACTTTTTGCACATTATGAATTAAGATGAGGAGGAAGCCAGGAGCGGTGGCACACACTTGTAATCCCAGCAGTTTGGGAGGCTGAGGCAGGAGGATCATGAGTTCAAAGCCAGCCTCAGCCACAGTGAGGTACTAAGCAACTCAGTGAGACCCTRTCTCTAAATAAAATACAAAATAGGGCTGGGGATGTGGCTCAGTGGTCAAGTGCCCCTGAGTTCAATCCCCAGTACCAAAAAAAGAAAAAAAGAAGAGAAGGAACCCTGTGCTTCTCCTTTGTTGGAAAAGCAACAAATCTTCTTTTTCCTTTTTCTTAAAAAAAAAAAAAGGAAAAGGAGGAAGCCATGTGTAGGGAGAGAAACAAGCAAACAATAACTATGTAGAGATATCCTATTAAAATTACAACACTAATGATATAGACTCTGAAAATGCCTAATAAGTCAAAGCAGACTTTATTAAAGATTTCTTTTCCTGCTTAAGGTGACATCTTTAAACACTTTAACACAA